TGCTGCCTTTGGTGTATGGCTGATGCTGGCACAGGTTAGCACAGGGCTGAAATGGCAGAGAAGCTGTAAATACAAAGCAGAATGACCTCTTGCAAACGGAGTTACAAGAAAAGGATGGTGAAGGACAACAGAGTGAGAATGCACAAGGTGTCTTGCTGCTCATGGCTCACAGACATGGACCTTCTACCCCAGCTGCCTAAAATAGATGGGAAGGGTTTCCCTCACATCTCACAAAGGAGGTTGGTGGCAATGGTGCTTTGTTTATGCTTAACACCTCTGTGCTCAAACTCTTCCTTTGCTTGTCTGCGACCTGGGATTTAAGTTCACACCTTAGGCACCTCATTGGGTGCATTAACAAGATTAGGCAGTGCTCCTCTGCAGCCACCAATGTTGTTGGGCATAAATAGCTACCACAGTAGATGAAGAGGGTGAATGACTTTGCAGCTTGGTGAATCAAATCTTTCCCAGACTGATATTGCTTCCAAACTCTGAACTGGTGAGAGAATGTATTTTACACCAAGTGGAACAACTTGGAAGCTGAAAAGCAGCTTTCCCTTGCTGCCTCTGGGCTTCCTTGCAGCTAGTTATTTATGTGGTGAAGTGCAGAGCTAGGTCAAATCCTTGCTTTGAACAAGGCATAGGAGAAGAATTGATGGTACTGGTGGGACTTCTCCAGCATCTTCTGTGTCAGTCCTAATCCATGTCTGAAAACTCTCACCAAACCAGCACCCAACACCAACCGGGTCCTTTCCTCTAAGAACCTCACAGAGATTTCAATAGGGACCTCCTTGTTCCTGGGGCGTCAGGGCATAAGGGCTTCCGTGTAAGCAACATAGGGAAATTTTAAGCATCCTCTTGGTTTCTCTGGATTTTGGGAATCAGAAAACTGCTACAAGAGGAGTTTGATGATCTTATGGCATGTCCGTGTTGGATTCTAACTGCTAATTATATGGTTTCAGGGTAACATAGCCATAACAAAGATGCCTTGTACTTGGGTAGCTTAGGGTCTCATCCGCACGTTAATTGCAGGATCATGGAGCTCATTATGATTGCCTTCACAAATATCTACATATCCTCTTCAATTTTGCAGGCTGAGTAGCCATGGCTACACTGGACAGCATCTGAGCTAGCACACTGAAAACTCGTAAGTGCATGACTATCGTTCAGGACAGTTGTATCAGAGCATCTCACACCCTTTACTGACTTCAGCCCCCCATGCTGCTCAGTCCCACATGTGGAGAAATAATTTGGAAACACTGAGCTCAGATGATAAAAGGTACAACTCTGAGGAGGGTTACAGCATGGAACAACCACCCTCTCAGAACTGAGAAAGGAGCTGGATGTCCAGATCTGCAACCCTCCTCCTGGGCTCAGTGTGTTTTGTTGGCAGTGAATTAGAGATGCTTAAAGGAAGCAAACAAGCAAGCAAAACACACTCTAAACCCACCAAGTTAAAGATGCTTCCCTTCAATGAACTACATTTTGAAGAAGAAGTCCAAGTGCTGTTAGTACCTGGAGGGTAAATTGAGATCTCTGAAAGAGGAGCCCACCTTCATTTCCATGCACATGCATTGGTGCCCAGACTCTCCTTCATGAGGACGGTGCTATGATATGTTACAATGACAGCAGCCCAATTACTAACTGTACACCTGAGCAGGGCAGGGATTTCCCACCCTGTTGTAAAACTGATGCAACCCCATTCGATGCAGTTGCGTGGGACACCAATGTGAGCATCTTGTGTTGTCTTCTGACCGAGTCTGGGATTGCAGAGGTTGTCTCAAATGCAGCACCTGGACGTGTGAGCTGCATGTGATGCCCTGCAAGGAGCCAGCCTGGCATGTCTGAGCAGGATTTGGTTTCACTCCTCTACCAAGAAAAGAAAAGGAAAAAATAACTATTCCCTTGGTTTTAACAAGACCTCAAATAGGGATTGCTCCTATATGGAAACTAATAGGCTTTCAGAAAAGAGGTAAAATACGCATGCACATCTCAAAGATCTAACAGTGCCTTCATCATAGGATGAAAGCTCCCCCAAAAAGCTGAAGAAGAAATCAATTTAATAGCTCTTTCACTCCTTCCTGATTCCTGGAGTGCCAGTTATGTGCTGAGACAACCTTGTTCTGATGAAAGCAGTTTTGCTTGCTGCCGTGATGCTAATTTTTCCATCTGGAGAGTGGCTTCTTATAGCCGGTCGGATTCAATTAAGGATTACAGGGTTCTACATCTCCCTTCCCTGGCAGTGTGTGCTAAGCAAGCGCAAATGAATTACAAACCAATTGTTTTCCCCCGATCCCCAATGATCCTGGGTGCATTAATGCACCAAGATCTATGGGCAAACTTAGAATGAAAAACACAGCCGTGCTCCACTTTTGGCATCTGTACCTGTTTTTTATACATGCAAATCGAGTTTCCTGTTCATCGAAAACAACTGAACAAAACACGATGGCATGAACGTAGCGCAAAGAAGGGCATCCATGCTGTTCCTTCTCAGCGACCTGCTTTCCCAGAGGGCACCCATGGGTGCTCGGAAAGCTTCTGCTAGCGAGGATGGTGGGTGATTAGCAGAACACATTGCAGCACCGGGGCATCCTTTGAGGGGCTTTTCTGGTGCTGTAGCTTCATCTTCACATGTGTAAAACACAGAGGCAGGAGCCCTGTCTCTCCTCCTGCTCGTTCCTCCTGTTCCTTCTTCCCATGTCCCCAAGTCTGTCTTCGGTGCCTTATCACCACCTCTTACCAATGGGACTTTTGGCACATTCATACATTTGGCTTTTTTTTTGTTTCCTGCTTCTTGCCTCCCTCTCTCCTTTACTGGCTCATTGTTTTAACAAAGTGCAATTAATCTGTTTCAGAGATGCCGGTTCTGGGAAAGCCACCAAGGGCTCAGGCTCTCCCTTACCCCCTGTACTTCATTGTCTATGGCACATCAGGATATCCCAGCCTTTCCTCCAGCGACCAGGACCTTTACTCATTGTTATCAACCTCTGAGGGCTTGAAACTTAAGAGTGAAAGGTCTGAAAAGAGGGAGAGGAAAAGTATTTCTCTGCCTCTGGGCTTGTCTGATCTTGTTCTGGATGCCAGCGGCTTTTCCAGTTTTGTGTCCTCTGCTGGCTCATGTGGAGCATGCCATTTCACAAGGGTTTGTCATCGTGTTGCTGATTCCTGGGGATCCTTCTGTCTCTCAGTTTTTCTCTTGGATGCTCAGTGCTCAGAGAGCCTCTCCCCATCACACCAGAGAGAATTCAGCCTGGAAGCCAGAGCACCGGCGTGTCTTTGGTGAGCACTTGGTCAGCATGGAGATCTGGGTGCTAAAGTTGGTGCCATTGCTGCCTAAGGAAGGGTGGTGATACTTCATGTCCGAGCCCAGGAACCGCTCCAAATGCCACCTCCGCCACTTTCGCTTGAGTTCAGCTTGGACCTAGGTGGTGGAAAGACAAGCAAATCAGCAGAGGGGAGCATTCTGCATGGCTCTGACTTGATTGTGTGAGTACCAATGGGTAACCCACCTACCAAGGGGCCAAGAATTATTTTATAAAGGTCACTAAACTCAACCTGGCCAGAACTTTTAAGCCACATAGCAGAGAGGTCACACTCCAGCCAGAGAACTGCTACACCAGAAATCCCTGAGCTTCAGCAGAAAAGTGAGCACAGGGAATTGCTTATCCAATGCAGTGAAGGTGCCAGACAACTGTAAAGGCAACATATTCTATGGTTTGTGAGTATAACTAAGATTTTCTTTTCCACTGCCCTGTTTTTGCTCAAATACAAATGATTTAACTATCGCTTCTTTGTAAAACTGTCAATACAGCTGTGCTTTCTTGATAGAAGCTACTTGTTCCTGCTCAGGGAGTTTACACACATCATCTGGTTTGCACAGTCCAGATTCAAATCCTGAACAAATCTGGCCACTGTTTCTGTCCCTTCCTGCAGCTTTCCAGTGCAAATTTGTAGATAACAGCATGAATTAGATAAAACAGCTGTGTCCAAGGGTCTCTGGGATCAACAAGCACAGGAATAGTGCACCACCATGCAAACTTCAGGATTGGAAACATGGGAAAGGCAGGAGCAGTGCCTGTAAGGTAGAAACATGTTTGCCTGGTGCTGGTCCGTGCCTAACAAGTCACGCCAATGCCTGTATCGGTTTTGGATCATTAATAACTTTGTGTGATTCTGTTCTGCTCCACGCAGGTTTACTGGCAAAGACCTCTGCTGGAGCTGGGCTCTCTGCTCTGCATGCCACTGCCTGATATACACATGGCATCAGCATGGCTGAAAGCAGCAGCAGAGCTCTAAGAGAGCGCATTGCGATTCTGGACACTCTTCCTCTCCCCAGGAAGCTGCAACATAAACCCAGCTCACAGCTGCTTCTTTCTTGTCCGTGCTCAGTTTATCAAGTTGAAAGTGCTCCCGCTGACAGCAGCTCCAAGTTTTTAGCTGCTCACACCCACTCGGTAGCCTTCGCAATATGGGTTTAATCAGTCTCTGCTGAATTTCTTACGGGAAGATGGAGCATGGCACAAAAATATCCTTGCACTAACGAGCCTCCCTCTTGGCAGTGGGGGAGTGAGTCTGTGAGGGATTCATTGAGGTGCTAAGCATAAGTGGGGCTTAGAAGATGGGTTTTGTAATTCCCCTGCTGAAGGTGGTCTCTTTGGATCAGGGTTTATGCAAGGTCATATGGGGGTTCTGCTGATGCTGTCTCATGTGGAAAGGAAGGGCTCAACAGCGGAAATATTACAGTCTGCACAGAAGTCCTAATATGTTTATTAATTGTGCTGGAAACAGTCAGGCAAATGGTTGAGTTGTTTTTCTGGAGTGAGTGATTTGATGTGGAAGCTTCCCGCCAATATGGTAACATCAGGAACGGGACACTTCTCAATCCTCTCCACAGGCATTGAATTTGCCTTAGCTACAAACATTAACAGAACAATATTGTTGGTCTTACCTCCCCATTGAGAAAACAGTAGAGAACAGCCACCACAAATCCCTAGGGAAAAGGAGAGAACAGCCTTTTAGCACCTCACAGCTGATATTCCCCTAAATCACAACCCAAACTCACTGCAGCCTTGGAGAAAGGGCATGGTGTTGGGGGGCTGCTAAGGTGCCTTACAGAAACCACTTGATTGCATTTTCCCTATACAAGGAGCAGAGGAAGATTGGTTAGGGTATCGAGCAGCAGTGGGTTCAAAGATTGCTCCAACTGGTGTTGAGAGCCATCAGAAGTCAGTTCAGCCCCAAGAGGGACACTTGGTCATTCAAAGCATTAGAGGCAACTGGATGGGATATGAGACCCAGCTTTCCTGATGTTCTTGGCAGTTGAAATTGGGGATATCTAACCAAGCTCTCTAGTGTGTCACCAGCATTAGAGGCAACTGGATGGGATATGAGACCTGGCTTTCCTGATGTTCTTGGCAGCTGAAATTGGGGATATCTAACCACGCTCTCTAGTGTGTCACCCAGAATAGAATGATTTTAGACACTGTACAGGGCCAAACTGCTCCTTTCTCATAGAATAGAATGATTTTAGACACTGTACAGGGCTAAACTGCTCCTTTCTCGCCTCCTGTGCAGTGACACCTCATCTGGGAGAATCTCAGCTTTCACTGAAAAAACAAACCAAACTTATCTATCACTATCCATCCTGGTGGGGTATTGGCCTCCTATGCCAATGAACTGGAATTCTGCTTGAGCAGGCTCTACAGGCAGGATGTGGCTTATTAACAGAGGAGAAAGTTCATGCAAGTCAACTGGCTGAAGACGGATGAGGCTCCTAAGGGCCAGAAAGACATTCCTCCCAAAGGCAACTTATATCATCTTACACCATGTCAATAATATATAAACTGAACTGAGGTGCTAATTTTTCTCCCTTAAGTACAAAAAGACCGAGGGCAACTAACTTATACAGGTACATTTTCTTTTCAGGTGCCTAAAATAACAAGAGAGCATCTCTTTCTGGAATTCCAGGAGGCAAAATGTGAAATTATTTTCTATCATAGCCAAGCTCGATTAAGTAGCTTTTTCCCTAAAGGTATAAAAGAAATATTGGACATGTCCAGAAAAAACCAAGCTCACATGTTTGCTTATTCCCTTGTCAAGCTTGCTACATTTGCCCCTGCTGACAGACCCAGTGACTGACTGGTGGCCCAAAGGGTGGCTTACCTGGAACGACCCAACGACGAGCTCAAAGACCATCTTCACTTCTGCTTTGAAATTGTCAGGGAAGAAAGCAAACATGATGTAGTGAATGCCAAAGAGAGGGATCAGCAGCAAGGTGGACTTGGCCAGCCTCCTGTCAGAAAGACAAACACGAGTTGTAAGGGGAGACAGGAGAGGAGCTAAAGGGTAAGCTGAAGAGAAATCCTGCAGCTGAGCCCTACACAACCCCAAACTTTAATTTGCTGCAGTATATATTTGCTGATTACCTGGATCATGGTGGTGTAGCCTGTATCGTGCATGTTAAGTACCTTTGTTTGCCATTAGGAGATGTGATATGGTCCACTTACCCTGAGGCCCTGGGAACATCCAGCCTTTAAACAGCAGCCTCGAGCGAGGCAATATCAGGAGGCTGCCCTCGCCCAGAGGGAAGATGTGTCAGGGGTACAGGGAAAGGAATGGAGTTGAGATAGCTCCTCACAGCCCAACCTCCCCAGGGTCCCTCTGATGACCTGGGCTGGGATGCAGGGACATGTGGAACCAGACCTTTGGTTGGGCACAGTCACTGCATGGCAGTTCAGACGAACCAAGGACCATGCCGGGAGCATTTCCACAGGCTTGATTTCTTCCTCATTAACAGCTCTCATAAAAATATATACATGTCTCCAGCTAAGGCAGAGTGCTCAGCCCTAGATTATTTCTCCTTGGCCTGCACACTGCAGATGGCTGGTGATTTCAGATGTGGTGACAACATAAAATGTGACATCTTTATTCTCAGTAACTTCAATGGAGGTATTTCTTTCTCCCTTCTCTCTTCTTCCCCTCCCACCGGAGATCTTTTTTCATCTCCACAAGCTAAATCATCATCTAGCACTGTCTTTGTTTGCTTGGGATTTCTGAAAATTACAGCTTCGGGGAGAGAAATGGTATGTTTAGCTCAGAATAATGACAGGCTATCGCACAATGAATGTCTCCAAAGGAGGGAGATGAACAGTATTAGTGCTTAATGGCATCAGGCTGGGTAATCAGAGGTTTAATTATGAAGAGATGATAATTTATTAAATCCAATCGTTATTAAAATATAGCTGACAGAAATAAAATTAAATCAAGGACTCAAGGATGCTTATGGAGTTCTTGACTCCCTTGGTCACCTACATACTTCTGCATCCCCCTCTTCTATAGGCTTCTGGAGGAACTGAAGCTAAGGCTGGGATGTTAGAAATACTTGTTCTACCATCTGCAAACCCTTCACCTCCGAAGTCCCATCAGGCTCAGTCCTTCCAGACCATCTTTATTTATTTGCCATCTGCCTAAGCCCACTGGGAGGGCTGATGTGCCAGCTTTATGCAGATGATGCTCATCACTGTATCTCCCAGCAAACCTTTCCAGCTTTCCCTGGGCCTGCCTCAAAGACAGCTTGACATTAAGGCTGTGGTTGGAGGCTGTGGTTCCTCAGGGAATACCTGGTGACTGAGTAGCAGCTGGCTGCAACTCATTCCAGGCAAAATGAGTGCCTGTATGAAGCTGAGGAACTTTCCAGGAATTTGCCTTTCCTACCACATCCCTCACTTGCAGGCACATCCCTGCTTATACTGAGCAGATCCAAAATCTCAGTCCTTTTGGATGTCATTTTCTGCCAGAGGACTGTCATTGTCATTGGTGACCATCAGGGTACTACATTCCTCCCTGTCAGAAGCGGCTCTGGCCAGTGTGACCCACACTAGTGTGATCCAGCCCTAATTCCCCCAGCTCCCAACATACGACATATGAGAAAACAACTCATTTCCTTAGCAGATCTCAGTTCAGTGAATATCAATACTGGCTTGGCAGAAATCTCTCCTGTTTTCCCAGTCTTTCAGGAGCAGTCAACCTAGAGGAGATACATGTGATGCTGCATTCGTTTACCATATTCATAGAGGAGCTGTTCGCAAACTCCAATGGACTAGAAAATTTTATCTTATCATTGCAGGCAACATCAGGGCCTCACTTACAGCACTTTCCCTCCTGGATGGATAGTGCCAACAAACAGGGCACAAATGCTAAATCTTAAGACCTCTCTCCTCCAGTTTGCACAATACCCCAAACCAGTTGCTTGCTCCCAGCACTGAGCTTCCCCAGAATCATGCAATGGTTTGGGTTGGAAAGGACCTTACAGCTCATCCAGTCCAACCCCTGCCATGGGCAGGGACACCTCCCACCAGCCCAGGCTGCTCAAAGCCCCGTCCAACCTGGCCTTAAACACTTCCAGGGAAGGGGCATCCATATTGAGTGATGTTTTAGACCTCAGTTTGTCTTCAAGGCAAGGACCATAAGGTCTAGCCCTAAGATATTAAAAAAACTCACCCCCTAAACACTGCAGTGAGGAAAATAATCTTCCTCAGCCATGCTGTAATTTCTCCCAGGAAACTAAAGCCTGGCTGTGCAGAAGGCAGAACTGCTTGGGAGATTGTCCAAAGTTGGTTAAAACTATCTGCTAGAGATCATGGCTTCCCAAAACACTCTTCCACTCCCAGCACAACGGGCACTTCTTAGACCTGCTCTCTCTGACAGATACACATGGTGACAGGTAATTTAGGGAATTTAGGGAAAACACATCTCCACCAGCCTGCTCCTCTCCTTGAGAGTGGATAAGAGTGAACCAATGTTATAGATATGCTCCTTGAGTGCATAATGGAAAATGATATTATTTATGATAATCCTGATCTATGAACATGTACAGAAGAAGATGATTTTGCTCAAGAATAACTTCTATTTGCCTGAAATATTGCTGCCCTATTCTTGCACATGTCTCTGTCATTTCTAGAAAACTGTTTAGGGAGACTTATTCTCACAGTTTCCAATACATGAAAGCCCAGCTCGCTGTCTGTAGCACTAATGAGTGAGTCAGCAGTGCACCTGAACTTCCAGCCTGCAGCTAAACTGAAACAGGTTGAACAATACTGTCAATATGTCAACATGTTTTGTTTCTTTTTTTATAAAGTAAACAAGAGAAGGAGGAAGAAATGCAAATGAGAGATCCCTGATGTTGTTAGTTTAAAAGATACTTATCTTGGATTTGGCAGGAGGAACCCACACACATCATTAGCAGCAGGTTTTGCTAAGATCTCTTGGGTCCTGCAAGCCAAAGCCCTGCAGCTAACAGCAGCATTTCAGGTAATAAGGGAATGATGTGTGGAAGGATCCAGGTACCTACAATTGCAGACCACATGCCTAATGATATTTATAAAAGGGTCGGGACCCTCGATGTCTCTGCATGTCTCTAAACATTAAAAACTTAGGACCACACTGAGAACTCCCCTTGGTGGGATCCAGCCTTCATGTCACGACACTTAATATTCATTTCCACAGGAAAATGTCCTGTCTCAGGTCTCATTGTAGTCAATATAGTCAATATAGACTTCCAGATGCCACAGAAAATCTGTCTAGTGGCCAGCTGCCACTGTATAAGGGTACAAGTCTCCCAGACGTCCTGGGTCCTATATGCCGGGTCCAGGCAAGTATCTCAAAGGTCCTAAAGCATCTCATACGGCTTGGACACCTTGAAGTGAGCAACTGATTCATGCCCTAATGGAACTGAGATGTTTTTTCAGGTGGAGAATGAAGGAGAGGAGCTGAAGATGTGAAGATCATTTGTACTTCAGCAGTGCCTCCTGTCTGGCATCCCAGCATGGGGAAGCCTGTTACTGCTCTGCCATGCTATGTTTGTTTATAAGACAAAGAGAGCTTTCCTGGCAGCTCCTGCTTCATTGGAAAATGAGAACTAAAAAGTCCTGAACCAAAGCTCAGCATGACCTCCAAGGTAATCTGGGCACAACCCTTCCGACACGTGTTAGCAGCCCTTCTACTGGGATGAATGGGGGCCAACTGCTCCAGGCTGCTGCTTAGTACTAGGACATATTTCAATATGCTGATTTAATCTGCGTACCTGGCCAAAGCTGTTGCAATCCTAGGGGTACAAAGATAAAATGCCCAATTGGAAATACGTAAAGGGAAGCGAGAGAAAGCACGGGGTCTGGTAATGCTGGCGTGTTGTGATGAAAGAAAAGCTGTAATTGCTTTGGCTGCTGCAGGGAGAAGTTAAGGTCAAATACTGGAATTTCTTTTCAGAAATCTGAGAATCTCTTGAGGTAGATGAAATGCATAATTTACCATTGCCAGAGAGCAAGACTCAGTGTCATGGCTGGTCAGTGTTCAAGGACCATATTGATACTGCCTTCCATATGGCAGAAAGATGAACTGAGCTCAGACTCTTCAGGGTACCAAAGTGCTCAGCTTCCTCAAAAGACAAAGAAGATTTATGAGCAGTGACCATCGGGACACTGGACTTCTTTCTTTTCAGTTTTTTTCAGGAAACATTTAATAAATATCCAGGAATATTTGAAATGCTGAGCCAGGGCAGTGGCAAGAGTCAAAAATAAGCTGGTCTGAACTTTTATTTTATTTGCATTGAAGCCAGAATAAATCTATGCAGATAGACAGATTTCTCACACTCTTTAAACACTGCCACTAAGACCAGTCTTGGCCACTGAGACAGATGCTGATCTCACTTGCATGTTGTTCATTATATAAAGCCTCATTAAGGTCAACCTTATATCCCTGGAATAAAAGCCTTATGTCAAGGAAAACCTCTGAGACAGCACAACTTCTCAACAGTGAAGAAATATGCAGTGAATGAATCCAACGTAGTTAAGGGGTATGCTTTAAGACAATGAAAATTTGCCATAGATTCTATTGAATGTACTGTTTTTCTGGATCTCTCATCCTTTGAAAACTGGAGCTGAGGGTAACCAGTTCAGGGAAAAAAAAAGCCCATATACGGTGGACAGCTTCTCTTTCTTATCCATAAGGGCCTCTATACCTTCAGAATCTAATAAATATCGAAAACACAAAGAGAAATCCTATTTTGTTTCATGATCATTACTATTGCTCTCACTTCTCCATTGTATTCCCAGGAGAAAGCCTTCCTGCCTGTCTGTTCAAATGGATATAAAACATGCCCAGATGTTTTAGCAAATGCCCCATTTGCTGATTTCTGATGAGCTTTAATCAATTAACAAATACTTGATTCTGATCAGTGCAGACGGATGCAATACTGAACTAACAGCCAAAGAGGTTTCCCCAAAACGGTACAATAAAGTTAAACAAGTTAAAAAGTCTAGGACTTACGAATATTGGCTGGGTTCATTGTGTCCAACATCTGGGGAATGCAACTTCTGGACTAAGATACGGATGATGCAAATGAAGAGAATGAAGTTCACCTGTCGGGATGGGCAGAAAGGAAACAGAGAGAAAAATAAAGAATTAGGATTTTTCTTCAGTGAAAAGAGCTGATCTTTATAGAGGAATTCCTTTCACTGCAATATTTTTTGCCATGGAGCAAGCTGTTGTTAAAAAGCCATGAGCAGAGAGCCCCACAGTAAACCGACACAGGATGGCAGCCATCTTGGGCCTGACATCAGCCTGCTTGGGACTTTGTGTCATACATCCCAAGTATGATGATGTCAAACCCATAGAGCACAGCTATGCACGACGTCCTGCTGCACGGGGGAGTGCCGACGACAGGGTGGGAAAAGAGCCTTGGGAGTTAGCGGAGCGACGGACGTCAAAGCCCTCGGGAGACGGTGACATGGGACCGGCTGCTGAGCATGTCAAAGACTGAGGTGGTGAGCCAAGGAAACCAAAACAAAACACAAAGCTGTATCTACTCAAATGGGCTCTACTCAATGCTGTTGGGCATGTCTTCCCTGGAGAGAAGCTGGAAACCTTGTATAGCAAGGAAAACATTCTCTCCTAGGACATTAGACCAGAGGAGTCTAGCTAATACCTAGATTTTAGATGCTGCTTTTCACTCAAAAAAATTTTAAAGTGCTCCACTAACATACTCACATAATGTTAACTTTATTTAATAGCAAAGGTGTAGAGACAGGAATGGCAGTTTCCTAAAGACATGTTGTAGATGGCATGAGTTGAATGCAAATCTACTTGCTTTTAAGGTTCTGTCCATTGAATCATGCTGTTACTCATGCAACATTTACAATAGAAAAGTGATAACAGATTTCTGTGGACTTAGTTTAGTTTTAGCTTGGCACACAATCTCTTTCTTTATCCTTTCACGGCTAGCAAATGCACAAATAATTCCGATTTTTTAGAGGCTTAAAGGCTGGAAGGGATTGTGTTAACCAGCCAATCTGATTTTCTGCAAAAACAGACTGTAAAATTTCCTCCAGCAATTTCCACATTTATCTCAACAACAGGTGAATAAAGCAGACCGAAGCACATCTCTCATTTAGACACTCACTTTTTTTTCAGAAGCTGTGAGTGATTGGAAATTAATTGTATTTCTTGGTTATGATGCATTGCTTAATCACTTTTTATGTATCTCATGCCATTTATCATAGTTTAAATTCATATTTATTCCCTTATAAGAATGGCTTGCGTCTGACTTGTTGGCAAGCAAAATTTATCAACTCAAACCAGTATAATCCAGATCAATTACTCCAATGAGCATTGATAGCACACAAGTTGCAGCATTGCAGGTAGCGCTGGAGCTGCTTTTCACTCTCCTGCCATGTGTTAAATACTGACAATGTTGGCTTGTTGTGGGCAAGAGCACCCATGGACACAAAACTATGGCAGTGGTAAGTCAGGTGTGGTGTGATTTATAGGCTTAGTACAACCCTAGCATTGCATGGTAGAAGATATGGCTATCAGGCTACTGGAGAAGTTGTTTATTTTTCAACCTAGAGTATAATCATAGACAGATGATAAAGCACTTCCCAGTGCTTAATATCTTATATATCTTATATATATTTCTCCCTTCCACTGAGATCTATGCTTTATTCCCATGGATATGGAGAAAATGTTGCATTCCTCCCTGAAAAAACCTGCTGTTCATCAGATAGTGGTTATCATGCCCTTCCTCTGGGACAGATTTATATGCTATCTGCAGTAGGAAAATCTGAAATTGCTGGGTAAATTTTGTTTGGCCATGAGGAAATGATTTATTGGCCAAAAGAAAATACAGACTCATTGATCCAAGGAGAACAGGGTGTAATTCTTTACCAAAAGGTTATCCTGGGAAAGGGAAATACTATCTATAGCTTTATATGATGATATAAATATTTTGAGATGTGTCATCTAAGTATTGTATTTCTTTTCAGTGAGGTGAACCGAGTAAGATGTAATTATTCAAACTGTTTCACGTTGGAATTCCTGTATGACAAATGCTACGGAAAAAAAAAAGTCTTCTTGTAAAGGTCATAATGTATGTGGAATAAGAATAATGTATGTCTAAGAAAAGATTTTTGTTTAAAAGAGACATATTTGGTTTGATTTCTGTCGCATTCTTTTTCTTCCCTTCCCACATGCATGCCTTCATTTAAGAAAACTCAAAGCTAAGTTTAACTCAGGTTTATTCAGTTTCAGGTTTTAGCTCGACATCTGACAGAGGAAACATGTAATATTCGACAAGGATGGAAGTACTCAGAGTTCCTCAGAAGTGTCATGGTTTCTGTGGTTGGAATTGATCGTATCCAGAGAAGTAAGAAGTCAAGCACTTCTGTTGGTTTATTTGGAAATTAGCCAACCTTCTCAAGAACTTACTTTAAAAACACATAGCTAGAATCTGACTTTGGACTAGATGCTATAACAAGAGGCAAAAATCTGGGGGAATTAAGCTAACCTCTTTTTATCTAGGGAGAAATTTATGGTAGGACTCATCACATTTTACTTTATTGTCTTGACCTCTACAACTGAACAAGTCATCCTGGGCTCTGCATATGGTCAGCTCAGAGAAACAAAAGCAGTTCTAGCACAATTAAACTGATCTAATTTAGACATCCACTGATTCATTAGACAAGAGGAGCTTTTCCTGGATCCCTAACCACGTTCCTGAACCTCTTCTGGCTACACACACCCATGGCTACTGCACCAGAGTGCCAAGGGTAACTAGCAGATATGGAGGTGGTCACAATTAAGTCAAATGAGCTTCATCTTGGTTGTCTAGTCACCCAAGCTCTTCCCGTGGTCAATACTTAAAGGAAAATATGTTTATCTGGAGGGTAAACTTCCTCATCCTAAGACAGATATTCAATATACAGTGGGATTTTATCTGTCAATGCATTTTTCATGGACATTTACAGAACGCTTCTCAACATTCTTTCACCCCCCACACTTAGGATTAAAGATGGCTTTGCAGCCAGCAGAATGTGCTGATACTTTACCAAAATTGACACCAAAATAGGAGTTTTAATGATCCACCAGAATGGGGATTCCACTATTTCCTCCCAGCACCTAAAAAGAAACAAAACCAGACTTAAAACATTAAGCAAAGCAAGCAAGCAGCCAGGTAACCTTCTCAGGTACATGGTTTCCCTAAAAAGATGGCTATGTTAGGTTATGTGAAGAGGACTAAACCTGGTATGCATGAACTGGGAACAGCTGAAGACTTGCATTGCAGTGGCTTGAAGCACTGGTAGGTCCCAGTTGCCCCAGATACGATGCTCTGAGCTCGTATCCCTTTGGTAATGGAATAAGCTGGAGGATGTCATGGCAGGGTAGATGTGGGGGAGGATGGTGATTCACTTCATTTCACCTATACTACGGTCTGCTACAAGGAAATACTATCAAAATCACAGATTCGTGAGACCTTCAATGCTATCCACCATCATGGATGGAGATATTGTTAAGCACAGAGCAATTGGCACCATCAGAGAAAACATGCATGCCCTTCTGCAAAAGATGACAGCCTACGGTGGGATTAGTCCAATTAGGTCTAGCTAGCTGCATCTAAGCTATGGATCAAGGCAGGCAAGTCTATAGGGTCGAGGGTGTGATTTATCTCATACTGAAGTCAGAATTGTCTGCAAACCACACCACTCACCTAGGTTATCCTAAACCATCTTTGAAAACCAACAAGTAAATGGACAGGAATGAAGCAGAAACAACTAATATTGCTCAGGACACATTTAACTGCAGACCTCAGAACTGTCAGGCGATACAAGGTGCATTTTTAGGACAGCATTTACGAAAATTGGTCTGCATTCATGTTTGAGATAGATTAGTGGCACCCATCGCAGGCAATTTCACCTGGATCCAGCTCATCTAATTCAAAAAGTTGACAGCGCAAGTAATAGTAGATGAAGAGAGGCACTTTTAGGGCATAGCTCCTGAGACTTATTATAGGCATGAACTTTAGGATGAAAAAATTACACTCCATGAACTACACTGACTAAATCTCCACTAGCTATAAAAGGAGACTAGAGCAAATTGCTCAGATACAGATGCTTATACTCAGTCAGTTGTACGTTGCCCTTTCATTTAGAATTAAAGTGGCCCTAATTATGTCTAGTGCACTTCATTTTTAAAATACATTCAGGCAGTCTGAATGAAGGTCACTTTAATTTGGAGTTAGAATGTTTAAATAGAGGCTTAATGTTGTTTAACCAACCTTACATAATTAAGTTTTACTTAACCTGGATTAATTTCCTGTATTTTTTCTCTGTAGGTAATTTTAGTATGCCAAAAAAAAATATATCCACGTTAGGTATTGGCATATCTTGTAAATTCACACCCTGTTTTACTTGGCACAAAAATGTAGAGCTTTAAAGCCTCCAGAAAATGCAAAGAAGTCTGTATTTTTATTAAGAATTGCTGGAGCTGAGTGAGAATATCTAGTAAGAAAATTGGTTTCCAGACTGATTAAATCCTTTGGTATCTATCTCATTGTAGAGGCTATTTATTAACAGAGTAAATAAGGTCAGGTTTATGCAGATAGAGTAAAACCATAAATCAAATCAGTAACCCTCAGGAAATGTGTTAGCATGACTATACATCAAAAACGCACTGAGAAATCTGAGCTGCTTCTCCTACTGAAATAAGGACAAATCAGGACACATAGGGAGAGAATGCACAGGAGAAAATGGAGTTAACCATGTGCTGTAAATTCAAGAAGCAAGGGCATGCACAGCGAGTACATAATAAGCACCTGATTCTGTAACTCTCTGGCGTGTTTTCCCATGAAAGCTTTTCCAATTAATATAGTTTGCCTGCCTGAGTAAAAGCATGAAGGAGGATGGCAGGATCAGATCCCACTTACTTGCAACTATCCTTGGACAGCTCTAATATTTGCCTTGTTTATTTAGCTGTATTATATCTGCTTCTTACATAAAGTATCAAAGGCTGTTAGGTTAAAAAGGATGAAAAACAGATCCTAAAATCTGCCTGGGAACAAAAAAATGGCTTATTAGAGTTTTTCTGTGGGAGAGCTAACGGGTGTGTTTACTAAGCTTATTTAGGGTTAATTCTGCAGGATGCAAAGCCCTCTGAGCATAGGGAAGCTGCTCAGCTGTTATCTTTGTTATCACAGGGCCAAATGAGACCATCAGGGGCTGTTCACAAATTCCCTGCAAATATCCTGACCAAGGAGTTGGGAAACAAGGAGAATGAGTGACTGGCCTAAGTTGACATAAGCCATGTGTCTTCAGGGAGACCATGGAGCATATCCCAGTTCATGGTGGCAAGAGAAAGGCTCTGCTCCGCTCCGCTCTGCTCTGCTCTGACTGCCATGGGGGTTAGGGCAGGATGGCTGGGCTCCTAAAACTGCAGGACCTTCCTTGTCCTTCCTTGGAGATAAAGGAAGGCAAAATGATAAAGGAAAGATAATTGAGTCCATAGGCTTACCCAACATCGAAAAGGTAAATCCTGACAATAGTCCAAGCAGTGATGAACACTGAGGGGGCACCTGATGAGAGAAGAGATGGTGTTACTGTCAGAAATCATTACCAATGCTTTCAGGGCTTTTCTCCCTTACTCTCCATCTCTCCTAAATGACTGAGGTGATGCCTTCTCTCAAGAGTGGAGAAATGCTTCGTGTTTTCAATGTTCACATGCCAAACGAGCAATGTGTTGACTTTCTCTCTCACTGGCCATGTAAGATGGGGAGAAATAAGTACTTCTAACACACAGGTCAACTAAGCTACTGCAAATAGGACAAGAAACATGTCCTTGGACTCCCTTGACTGCATTGCCTGGATCTCTACTGACTATAAAGGGAGCCTGGAGTGCCAAGTTCACACGTAGATGCCTGTTATTTTTTTCTAATTGCCCTTCCTCACCCAAAAAACCTCAGGACACCTTATGAGCGCAAGAGATTCCCTTTGCTTTAAAACCATACATTTTTCTTTAAAATTTGCCAGCTCCACTGTGCTGAAAGAAAGGGTATCTATGCGCAAGGTATGTTTAAAGAAGGTCTGACCTGAATAACTGCATCTGAAACACAGCCTGCCAACATCACCTCTTCTTATGTTTATAGCACGGAGAATCGTCTCTGCCACAGCGTGAACCCAAGTGTAACTCCTGTCACTTCTGATGGAAGTTACTCTCTGGCTAACTGATCAAATCCTGAGTCCAAGCATGCTCTTGTACATGGCATTATTTTATTTTTTCTCTTTTCTTTTCAAGATACTTCCCTGATCTAATTATTTCCCAGTTTCAGCTACCGTGAGCATGGAAGAAAAAGTCATTTTGCTTACTTATGTACAAATCTTCAGCTAAATGGCTTAAAGGGGAAAAGAGATATCTCTGTTTCTTCTTTTGAGAAAGAAGGGCAGTTGATCTGGTAGGATTAATTTGCATAAGTTAAAAATTCAGCTCTGAATTACTTCATGAGTTACTTCATGAAGAGGTTAATTCTGTCTTCCTTGGCATTTTGTTATTTTACATTTTATTTCATTTTTTTAAATTTAATTTAATTTAATTTAATTTAATTT